GAAGAATTGATGCTTTTGAACTGTGGTGTTGGAGAAGACTCTTGAGAGTCCCTTGGACTGCAAAGAGATCCAACCAGTCCATCCTAAAGGAGATCAGTCCTGGGTGTTCATTGGAAGGACTGATGTTGAAGCTGAAACTCCAATCCTTTGGCCACCTGATGCGAAGTGCTGACTCATTTGAAAAGACCCTGAAGCTGGGAAAGATTGAGGGCAGGAGGAGTGGGGGATGACAGAGGATGAGATGGTTGGATGGCATCACCGACTCAATGGACATGGGTTTGAGTAGACTCCAGCAGTTGGTGATGGACAGTGAGGCCTAGTGTGCTGCGGTTCATGTGGTAGCAAAGAGTCGGACATGACTGAGCGACTGAACTGAACTGAAAGTACACACACACACACACACACACACACACACACGTGTAGAATGTAGGGGTACCAACATTATAATCAATGCAGAATTCAAGACCAAAAGCATTAAACAGAACAAAGAGGAACATTAGCTAATGAAGAAAGCTACATTTCCTGAGAAAGATAATCATAAACTTTATTGTATCAAGCAACACAGCGGCCAACTAATATAAAGTAAAAACTGCAGGGGAAAAACCTCCGTAGTTTGTCTTAATGGTCTTCCTGCTCAGTGGGAGGAGAGTTCGCTCTGACATGGTGCTGGCGGCCAGGCCCACTCCTGAGTAGGTGGCTCTGAGGAGTCACCACAGGTGCCCACCTTTCCGAGGGGTTAGGAAAGGGTTCAATGAGTATGGCCAGGCTCCCAGGGATCCCGGTCCAGCCTCCAGCTCGGCTCCTGTATCTGCTTCTCTATTGGCCTCCCCCATGGGTGACCCCTACTTCTTCCTGCTTCTTCTCCTGACCTGCCTGATGTTCATCAACTTTCTAGGCCCCTAATCTAGACTGGCTGTGTGAATTTAGTAAGAGGCTGCACCACTCTGAGCTCCGCTGTTCCCTTCTGGATAGCACGAGGCAATGATGCACGAGACAGGGGTCCTGCCTGTGATAGACGGACCAGCCATGAGAGGGACAGTGGCTTTCTGGCTGGCAGCCTCCTTTTCTCCCTGCTTCTCTTGTCCTGGCCTGTCTCAGCCAACCTGCTGGCCAGCACCTGGGAGGCAGCTTAGGAAGGGCCACACCTCACGGCCCTGCTGTTGAGTCCTCACTCCTGTCCTGGGACACAGCCTCCACTCCACCTCTGTCTCTCTGGCCATTCCAAGGCACTCCTTGCCTTGGAGCCTGGTCTGGTGAAGTCCGCCCCACCCCCTCAGACGGGCAGAGTTGCATAATCTTTGGGCTTTTCCTGTCTGTCCTGGTCTTCCTTGTAGGCAGAGTTGCTTGTTTACACTGCTGAGTTGCTCTCAGGATCTGTCACTCACCAGCTCTGTGAAGTTGAACAGGTTCCACCTGTCAGAGCCTCAGCATGTTCATCTGTTGAATGGGGATGATAATACTTTGAGTGAAAATGCAATGAGATCATATCTAGAGGCACTGGCCTGTGATAAGTACTCAGGACTCAGCAGCTATCATTATTGTTCTGGTTATCATCACTGTTAGCATTATGACTTATTGTTGGCAGAGTCTTTTTATAAGCAAAAAAGACCTGTTGCAGTTAAGTTGCTTTCTTCCAGAGTTGTAGCTTCACTTTGCTTTGCAGAGCAGGTTTCTGCTCATGTCACAGTCACTCTGTTTGTGGACATTTTTCTGATGGGTATAACTTGATTATTTGCTCATTAGTAACTCGGCACCAGTAATTCACTTTTTCAGTTGAACACTGTTGCTTATGAAGTGCCCCCACTGCCTGGCCCTGCGGCACAGCCTCCCAGTTCCAGCTGTGGGTAAACCGCAGAGGACTCCCTTCCGTGTGTGTGGGACCAGAGGGGACCAGGCAGGCACTCGTGGCCAAGAGCTCAGATGGCATAGCTACCAACATCCCTGTAATTTGTGCCTTGAGGCTCAGGCCTGGCTGACTGGCAGGGACAAGCTCCCACTGACTGTGCCCCAATGCCTCCTCTGGCATGGCCCTGGAGGCCATGGGAGGCCCAGGTGTCTGTCAGTCTCAGAGCATGGGGAAAGGAAGGCTGGTGTCACAGGAAGCCCAGCTCCTGGAAGCTTCCCTGTCATGCCAGGCCCCATGCAAGAGCTTTACACTGTAGCTTTAATGGGTAGGTGGAGCCTTGCCACTGTCAGTGCCAAAGACCACCCCACATCCACCTCTTTCAAGGGCTTCCCATCTGGTGGTTCAGATGGTAAAGAATTTGCCTGCAATGTGGGAGACCTAAGTTCAATCTCTGGGTTGGGAAGATCCCCTGGAGAAGGGAATGACAACCCACTCCAGTATTCTGGCCTGGAGAATTCCATGGACAGAGGAGCCTGGTAGACTACACAGTCCATGGGGTCACAAAAAGTTGGGCTCAACTGAGTGACGAACACTTTGACTTTTCAAGGCCCTTAGGCCCCTCTTGGTTGAGTGTTCTGGGCTGAGTTAGCTTCTGGGCTAGGCAAAGGGAGGGGTATCCCTGAATAGCCAGCCCCACTGTTTGAGCTCCTGGGATGGGCTGAACCCTGTGCCTGGTTCACTTGCTCATGTGACCCTCACGATGACTTGTGCTCATCCCTCGGCTCACAAAGAAACCAAGGCTGGGGGGTTTTTAAGTGACTTGCCAAGGTCACATGGCCAGCAAGTGGCAGAGCTGGGACTGGAACTTGACAACATTGCACTCACTTCCCATTCTCTGAAGCTGGACAGGGTGGGGTCCCCTCAAACACCAGAGCCCCAGGCACCCATTAGAACAGTTGCCCCCTCATTGGTAGACCGCAGGGACTGAAATGATCAGAATGAAATACTGACCCTCACATCTGGGGCTCCCAATTGTGACCTGCATCCTATGTTCTGGAAGCATCCACACTGAGGGTGGAGCTGGACCTTGCCCTGGCGAGGGGGTCCCCTTCGTGTGCCTGTGAATGGGGCTTTCCTGGGTCCTGAAGGAGGGGTGCAGGGGAAGGGGCCCGGCGCGGCGGTGGGGTGCTTGGCAGTCCTCCCCTCACCCCTGTGCTCCCCCCTCTGGGCTCAGGGAGGCCTGATTCCCCAGGAGCCAGGGCACTGAGCATGCACAGCTCGCTGAGCCTCCGTTTCCTTATCAATAAAATGGGGGTAGTGCCAGTAGGTGCCTCGCAGGTGAGTGTGAGGAGTCAGACAAACAGGGTTGGGAATCTCTGAAGCAAGAAGATGCTGCTCTTTCCCCCTCCCTTTCCCCTCATTTTCCTCCTCCTTTGTCTCTGTCACTGCCCCAGCTCTGGTTCAAATCCCAGTTCTGCCATTTCCGAGCTGTGCTGGCCTCAGGAGTGTTCCTTAACATCTCTGAGCCTACTTTCTTGTTCTATAAAATTGGAATGCTGAAGAATGCGTGGTCTCGTCCATGTAAAGCTCTCAAATGGGGTTTGGCATGCAGAAACGTCCCAGAAGGAGAGTTTCTTCCCTCCTGCCTTCTCTGGCCGTGATCTGAAGCCTGCATCTCTGGAGCCTAACCCATGTTTCAGCTCTCACCTGCCTGACTCCCGGTCGCCACCTCGTGGCCTGATGGATGACTGCAGGTTCAGAAGAAAAATTCAAATGAGCTTCTAGTATGTTTTGGGGATTTAGTATTCAGTAGCAAAGCACCCCCAAGGGACTTAAGGAATGAAAGCAGGGTGCTGCCCATAGAAAGGCGCCTGGATATTCTGTGCAGACAGGAGATCTGCATGAGGGACTCCTGCCCTTTCTTGCTGTTAATAGAATCTGTGCTAGGAACTTCCTGAGCTTCATTCCATGGTTGATTTGGCTTCGACTGGGATAAGAGTTTTCAAATGAACCAATAGGGGTTTCTGGAACAATGGTGGGGCACATCATGGTCTCCAAGGAATTGAAAGTTATATCTTCTTTATCGAAGGAATGGGTCCAGAGGTTTTTCGTTTTTATGATTCCTCTTTAGGCCACAAATAGGCTACTCCAGTGGCCCAGTGGTCAAGAATCTGCCTGCAATGCAGGAGACATGGGTTCGATACCTGAGAGAGGAAGATCCCCTGGAGGAGGGCATGGTAACCCACTCCAGTAGTCTTACCTGGAAAATCCCACGGACAGAGGAGCCTGGCGGGCTACAGTCCATGGGGTCGCAAAAGAGTCAGACACGACTGAAGTGACTGAGCATGCATGCCAGATACAGGTACTCCCCATATACCCTCTCCATTATTCAAGTTTGCTCATTTTATTCTCAGCTAAATCAAGAGCGTGGGATGTGTCAGGCATCCTCCCACTGCCAAGGGCCTGACTGCCCCTGGCATGCCCAGCGAGGGCATCTCACCTCCTGCCATCTCTGGCCTTAGGACCCTGGGTGTGCCCCATCTCACTGGTCCCTCTGCGCTTCCCACCTCTGAGCACTTGTTCTGCTGTTCCCTCCTCCAGGAGGCTTCCCCTGATTTCCCAGGCACAGCTGGTGAGCCCCCTCCCCCAGTTTTGAGGCCTTGGTGTGTCTCTCTGAGCTCCTTCTTATCTTCTTCCCAGACCGGCATGGGTCCTGGGAGGGTCTGCGTGCAAAGGGTGAAGACCAAAAGGGATGAGCAGTCTGGGGGCTGTCTCCAAGCTGCAGGGGCTGCCCTGCAGTCAAAGCCATACATAGAACCCCCTGTCCATCCATCAGAGCCCAGAGCCAAGGTCTGCCTGGCATGGGGTCTGGGACACTCAGAGGCCAAAGAGGGCATCTGAGGAGAGCAGCGTTGGCCCGGCAGGGTGAGAGGAACTGCGGAGAGCAGAGACTTCACTGTCAAGTGGACACGGCGATTGTTCCCACCCCACGGGGCTTCGAGGAGAAACACATGTGAGGCTCAACACAGTGTGGGGTGCACGGCCAACAACCCCAATGGCTGCACCCAGAGCATTGAGTGGAGCCCCTCGGTCACCTAATTCTCTGCTCCAGTGCTCGTTGAACCTTTTAATAGGTCAGCCATGGGCAGTCAGGCCAACTGCATTGCCCGAGCCCAGGGGGCGCCCCTCTCATCCTGGTGGGGGGCTGCGGCCGCTCTCCTTCAGATCATCTTCCTAATGCCTGTTGGACCACCCGTCTCACTACCCACCTGTCCTGGTGGATTTGCATTCTACCAAGCTGTTGCCCAGACCTCACCCACTCCAGTCCAAGCCTCACACCCGAAGTTTTCTCAGGGAAGGTGGAAGTGGTGAGCTCCAGAGACAGGACCTGGCCGGGCCTCACACCCTTGAGGACCAGCTTTGTAAGGTGCGCTCAGAATCACATTCCTCTCCTGGGACCACCCCTCTCCTCGACTCTAGATCCTCTCCAACCCCAGGTTCCTGGGAAGAATCACCCTGGAGCAAGTTACTGCTCTCCAAGCCTCAGTTTTCTCATCTGTACAATGGGATAAGAGCTGTTCTGGATTGTGAGGGTCGGTGGGCTGAAGTCTATGACTGGCAGTGGCACAGACTTGGCTAGTATCGGTCTTCTGGAAAGAGGGGCCTGGAGAGAGACCTTGTCTCACACCCTCTCTTGTCTCCAGACCAGGCCTACATTTCCTCCCTCTCCGCTGACTTCACGTTCTGGGCTGGGGGGAGAAGACAGGCAGGAGAGAGGGGAGCAGTGGATTAGCACAGCCCCCTGTCCACCCCCTACCCAAACATTTTTTAGTGACAGGATTTTAAACGATTGCTGTCGGCAAGAGAGCTGTCAGCTCACTGCTGGGGGGTGGGATGGGGGAGGGGGGCTGGGAGGCGCCTCTCACAGAAGCCCAGGCCTGGGACTTGGATGGAAGACCCAAGTTAGTCCTGCCTCCATGCTGTTGCAGTCTGGACCAAGTGACTCGATTTCTCTGAGCCTCAGTGCGGCCATTCAGAAGGGAAGAGTTTCCTGGGTCCCTGGGTCTGACCTTGGAGGACTAGGTTGCAGGGCCAGAGTGTGGGCCTGGGGAGGCAGCCGGGGTGGTGTCCAGGCCATGGGTTTGCAGCCAAACCCAGTTTTGAGCCATTTCCGCTGCCCCTCGTTTGCTTTGTCGTACTGAGCTAGCTGGTCATCTCCTCCTTCTGAACCTTGGGTTTCCCTTCTGAAAATAGGACCTTGGAGGAGGCAATGAACAAGCCCAGAAGCCCGTGGGGCTGCGGGTTGCCCAAGGCTGCAGGAGAAGGTGGGGTGTGGCCGTCCCCGGGGGCGCTGGTGCCCGTGGGCAGAGAGAGAGACGCTCCAGGTGCTGCCAGGTGCTCCTGGCTGCGGGAATGGGGAGGGGACTGAAAAGGAGCAGCCAGATGGTGGGGGAAGGAGGAAAACATCAGGACTTCAGGTCTGCGGACTCGGGGCCTCCTGGATGCACAACCAGGCAGAGATGTACAATGATACACCCAGGAGTGGATGCGCAAATGTCTTCACCTCTGCACAGACACAAGTCTGAGACTCCTGACCCTGTAGGCAGATCTAGACAGCCAGTTGCACACCAGACACTGATCATCTGCAGGTACCCAGCTTCCTGCACAACCTACCCAGGCAAACCGACCCACGGAGCCAGCATTGGCACGTGCTTGTGCATGCGCACACGCTGGTCTTCCCCAAGGTACTCTAGGGAACCTCGAGTCCTCAAGGACTTTGAGAACCAAATTCCTTGAGTCTCTGCCATCTCCACACCCCACCCGACCGCGCCCCAACCCACATCTCCCCTGGATCCCAGGGCCATGTGAAGCCCTGTGCCCTCGTGATTCCTCAGGATTTAGCTTCAGCTTCATTCTCCCTGTCGCAGCCCCTCAAGCGATCTCACCCACCTTGTGCCTCAGTGACCATCTACCTGGTGGCTGAACACCTGGATGCTCAGGTGTGGCCCCTTTGAAGCTCATGGATGCCCCAGAGACCCTCAGCTCCCCGTGCTCCAGATCAGAGTGCTCCAGGGACCCCTGTCCCAGCGATCCAGTAACCTCGATGTTGTCTTCACTCCCCTCTCTGACAGAATCTCCAGGATCTGCTTAGTTCTTTCTCCTGTTACCACCCAGTCAGAACCGTCATCCTCTGTCGCCTAGGTAACCCATTGACTCCCATCTTTGTTCAGTCCACCTGACCTACTTGGATCCACTCTCCACTCAGCAGCAAGACCCTGGATGGTCTGGCTTTGCCTCTGGCCTCATTTCTTCTCCCCAGGCTCCAAAACTTAGCTATTCTTGCATTTTAGGAGAGTCACAAGATTCTGCCGGCACCTGAGTTGTTTGCATAAGCTTGAAGAACTTGCAGACACTCCTCCTCCTCCTCACCCGGTCCCCCTACACCAGCTAACTTCCCATCTCAGCTTAATATGCAGTTTCTTCCAGGAGGCCTTCCATGATGCTCCGCCCTTCCAGATGAGGTTGGGTACCCCTGTAACAAGGCTGAGTTCAAATCACATCGTCTACCTCCGTGAGGCAGGGACTAATCCCCAGTTCTCAGCCTAGTGGCTGGCACTTAAGGGGCCCCTGTAGTGGTTGGCTGAGTGTCTTGGGGAAAGGGATGATTGAGATGGGAGGGAGGCATTTGTTTCAAGGATGGAGATGGGTTGGGGTTGGGACAGGACAAGGATGGGGAGGTAACGATTATAGGATGAAACAAGGGAATGTGTTGGGCAAGACCAGGTACCCCAGGCTCTCCCTTCCTGACCTGCTGACCCTGGCGCCCACTGAGAAATCTGCTGACGTCTCAGGCAGGACTGGCTCAGGCCCCACACAGCCCCTCCCCACAAGGAGAGGCACCACAGGCGTGTACAGGTTGGTTTATTTACAAATATACTGATGTCTCGTCTTTTTCTGTTGTTTCCATTTTCTGCTTTCGTGGGAAAAGGCAGAAGGTGAGAGTGGAGGGCAGGGTGGGGGTGGTGATGTGGTAAACGCTAATAAATAATTTAACAATGACAAGTTATTAAATAAAATGTGTCTGGGGATGGCGGGTGGACAGTGAGAGTCTGTACAAGGAGAACAGGAATGGCCGGCGGCCCGGTCCCCACACCTGGCTGGGCTGGGCTCCCGTGGGACGCCGGTGGGGCGGCCGCAGCAGAGAGGCCCGCTGGCAATGGCGCCATCCAAGGGCCGAAGGTTCGAGGGTCCCTCCTGCTTCCCCAGCCCCCAGGCGGCGGGTCTGTGAATGTGGGTCTGTGAGCCTTCGTGTGTGTCTGGCTGTGTGTGTGTGTGTGTGTGCGCGCGCGCATCTGTGAGTGTGGACCTCCCCCTTCCCCACAGGGCAGAGTGAGCCCCAGAGCTGCAGGTTCTCCCAGACGGGAGGTGAGGCCCATCCCCGGTGGTGCCCAGAGCTCAGGCTGGGGCCGGGCAGAGGTCAGCCAATTCTCCTTCCCCCGAGCCTCACTGCTAGGGCCTGCTCATCTGGACATGGTGGACTCCCCACGTCACTGCCTCCAGGAAGCCTCCCGAGATGCCCAGCCCACCAGCTCTGGCTCCTTCTCTATAGGCTCTGCTGGGCCCATGGTCTGACCCTCAGAACCAGTGTCCCTCTGTGCAGCCTCCCTGGAGGCCTCCATGGCGGAGGTGATAACACTCCTCGTGTTACCAGGGGCAGATTCCTTCCTCCCTCTGAGCCTCAGCCTCCCCACAGGGAAGCAGAACTCCGCTTTCCTCTGACACTCCACACCCCCCCCCCATCACTTTCTCCCTCTTCCTCCAGAGAACAGTCTGTCATGTCCCCCTTCCCCTGGGCTTCCCACCCAGGCACCACGTGATGGTGGTCCCACATCACGGCAGGGGTGGGTGTGGTCAAGGCCACTCACCTCCCCCGCCCCAGGTCAAGGCTGTGCTTTCCTACCTGAAGTGGACAGAACCCAGTCATCTCAACTTGCCCCAACCCCAGCAAGCCTGACTGGTCCCGTGTGCTTCTGCTGGGTAGCCTGCTCTGAGCCTCAGGTTCCTCATCTGAGAAATGGGTCCCCAACAGTGTCTGGAAAAGCTTGGGACAGAATGTGTACGTGTCTCCTCCCAGGAGAGAAGTCCTCAAAAGGGGCCCTACATCTGGCTCATCTGTGTCCCGACACCGAGTCGGGCAGAGTGGTCGTCAGAGCCTGGGGGCCGCAGGCTGCAGTAGAGCGAAGGAGTTAACCTAAACCGGCTGATGGGGCGTCTCTGGCATGGGGAGCTGAGGGCCCTCTGGCTTTGACAACCTGCGGGTCATCAGCACGTGTCCTGTACCAGCTCCTGGCAGGGGGCAGTGTCATGGCAGAGGCAGAGCCCAGGCTGGACTTAGGGTTTCTGCGGACCCAGTGGGGGGCAAGTCTACAAAGAGGAGTCACGCACGTCCCCCAACCCGGAGGCCATTCACCAGGCAGACACGAGCAGCTGGCGTGGTGTCCCTATTCTCTGCTCCAGCTCTGCTCTTGACCAGCCAAGAGGCCTGTCCCTGCCCCGCTCCTGGCCCCGTTTTCCAGCTGCGGGATAACGGGAAGACTAGTTGATCCATTCCTGAGGTGCCTTTCAACATAAAGAATCTGGGAGAGAAGGGCCAGGTCTACTGGGCAGGGAGCATCTACCCCAGACCTGTTCCAAGTGCCCCCAGCATGACGTGACTACATGGGCCCAAGAGGAGAAAGGGGACCAACCCTCAAAAGGACAGAGTGGCTGCCTACGGGACCAGTGGAGACCCAGGACCAAGGATGGCCCAGAACCTGGGCCGGCTGAGGCTGCAGAAGGACGTGGGACGTCGGCTGAGACCCTGTGGAAGTTTGTGGAACAAGAAGAGCCCGGAAGAGCCAGGCTGGCTGATGACAGTGGGGAGACTGGGTTATGTCTGTTCTACACGTTTAGAGGGGAAGCTGAGCCAGGCTGGGGCGGGGGGTAGGGGTGGGGGCTGGGGAGGTACAATTTTAAAAGGAAGAGCTGGAAAAGGGAGGGCTTTTAAAAGGAAGCCTGGCTTCGAGAAGCGAGGACAAAGGCTGAAAAGGGACAGAGGTGAGATCAGCAGAAAAGGCAGCTGAACTTGGGGCCCGATGAAGTAGTGAGCTCCTCGTCACTGGAGGTGTGCAAGGAGAGACAGGAGCAGTTTGGGTGAGAGCCCAGCATCAGATGGAGTGTCAAGGGGGTGGCTTCTGAGACGCCTTCCCACCTGGAGGCTCTGCCAGGTGGCCTGATTCCGCCTGGTCCTGGGCCCCTGACCGCCCAGGCAGTCCCCATCTGGGTGGAGGCGAAGACATATCTGCATCCATGTGCTCTGATCTCACCTCCTCTGCCCTTCCTCCTGCCCCTCCTATTGCTGTCAGAGGGGCTCCCTGCCCCCCGGCCAGCCTCCTTCCCCTTCCTGACGTGGCAGGGCTGACCCACAGAGGCCTCTCCGTCTCTCAGCGTGTCTAGTTACCCGTGTGCACATCCGCATGGGTGTGCCTTGAAGCGTGTGCGTCTGCATGTATGTCTCCATCCCTTTGAGTCGGCCTGGGCTCAACCTTCCCGCCCCCAGTGCCCCCGTGACTCCCCCTTCCCCAGGGGAGAGCTGTAGTGGGCTTGGCCCACCTGCCAGGTCCATCCCCACTCCTGCCCCAGGCTCCAGGTAGAAGGGGTGATCCTAGGCTGGTGGGCCTGCCCCCAGAGGTGGGGGGAGGTGGGCACAGTGCAGGGCACAGGATACATGGGCTTCTCACGCCATTGTCTGGGGCATGCACGGGGCGGGGGGCTGCCTTGACCTAGGCCTGCGCCATGGAGGTGGCCTGGACACAGAGGGAACGTTTAAAAAAATAGAGAGAATTTAAGCTTCCCATAAAAGAGATGAGGAGGGGGAGGGAGGCGATGGAGGCCAAGGTGCGGCTGGGAGGCGAGTGGCTGTCCGAGAGTTCTGGGTCCCTGGGGGTGACACGGTCTCTGGGGGCAGGACACAGTCCCTGCCCAGGCTGCGCCCATCTGCCTGTCTGGCTGCGCCTGGTGGGCACGTTAGCCAGGCCCGGTTGGCCGAGGGGAGGGCACCGTATGGCTGTCTGCAGAGTCTGTGCGGGCGGTGGGGCTGGGGGTGGTGAGGCAGCATCTGCGGCCAGCAGTCCCCCCCTCCAGGACCCTTGCCCAAGCGTCCGTGCCGCCTGGCTGGCTCTCAGGAGGCGAAGTAGGAACTCTGCATGGAGTAGAGCCTGTCGATGGGGTTCCCCACGCGGGCCTGCAGGGAGCCCACGTCCGAGGAGCCGAGGAAGCAGTCGCTGAGGCTGGTTAAGGAGGTATCGCTGTCGATGTCGTGGAAGATGGAGTCGTTGCCTGGGGATGGGGTGGGGGTAGGCAGAGGGGGTGGGCGTCAGCACCGGGGGGTCCAGGCGGGGAACTCCTGGGCGCCCCACTGGCCCTACAGGCTGTGTGGCTGGAGGTGAGGGAGGGACAGGATGACTGCCGGCTGGCGGGGGGTGTTCGGGGGCTGTGGGTGGGTGGTTCGGGTGTCTCCAGGGTGCCCCCTTCCCGACAGGAGGAGGCAAGTGGGCTGTGTTGGGAGGGCCTGCCAGGTCAGGCTGTGGGGGCAGGGGCCGTGCTGGGCCGTGAGGGGTGGGGCAGCTTACCATAGGGGTTCATGTGGTCACCTGGCATTTGGGGCGGCGTGAGGCCCTGCTGGAAGGGGTCGCTGCTGCCATAGGGGCTCTGCTCCATGGCCACGATCTGCTGCTGCGGCGGGGCCAGCGGTGTGTAGGAGGCCATCATGCCCTCCATGCGACTGGACAGGACCTCTGGGGAGAGACCACGCCCTCACTGACTGCCCGGGTTGTCCTGGCCTAGAGGGCACCTCACAGATGTACCCTAGGAGTCCTCCATGGCTTCCCATCCCACACCACCCCCACCCCGCTACCCAGTCCAGGCTGCCCGCTGCCGTCCCTCTGACCACCTCCTTCCCAGCCCCTTCCCCTGCTGAGGTTGCCCATGACCGTCCAGGGTTGTTGAGCCTCGATATCTGACCTGCCTCCACCAACCTTCCCCAGACACACACACACACTCCAGTGCCTCTA